CCCACTTGTGGGAGTTCTTTCTAAGAACTTTTTACTATCTTCGTCCGTCTGCTCAGGTGGAGTATCCCTTTCGGGTCAGTAGGCTGTGACATGCAAAGAGTCAGCGGTCTGGACCCGAAATTGCCTGAAGTGTATCGATGTGTTTTGGCGGGGGGGGGGGGGGGGGGGGGGGGGGGGCATAAAACATAACAAGAGTTACAAGCAGGCAACATTTCCAGTGTTAACACAAAAACCAGAAACATCTAAACTGCTGATACAGGACCATGTGGGTACTACTGTTGAACTTGTCCTAGAAGGCTATCCATTGTGGAGAAGAAAAACTATTGTCTTATACAAGTGGACTTCTTAGACAATGCCATCGTAACATTATATAGGAAAACTGTAAAAGGGAGGGAGGAAGGGAGTGGTCCATTGTATAGTCAATCGTCTTTGACAGGTGGCTGTAAGAGTAGGCTGGAATGTAATGTTTTGCGGTAAGTGGACATTGCGGGCCTTACCCAAAAATTTACTTTGAAATAACATGTTTTGGTGGGGTGGTGGGTTCCTTTTATTCTTGTGAAATTCTATACACCCATAATAACACAAGATGCTATAATGTTGAATATTTACTGGGCTGCTTCAAGATTACCTTCCTCTTTCAATCCTTTATCAGATAATCGCCAAAGATTTCCCTTTTCGAACAACGTGCTTTTGTTAATAGATTGCTACCTTGAACGAGATATTGTGACCAGATAAATGAATCAAGTAAACCCAGGGTTCGTGTGAGAAAGCAAATATTCCTATCTCGGAAAGAACTTTGACCACTCAATAGATCAAAAAGGCCCACAGGACAATCCGAACAGGCTTTATAAAGATTTAAAGTATTGGATAAGGAGCTGTACATCTCGCTTTGGGCAGCGTTCAGAAAATATTTCGTGTTCATGATGTGCTTTCCAGAAAAGCCGTGATCGAGCATGACACCTGGCTTCGATTAACCTTTCGTGGTACGGTCATAGTATTTGAAAATAACTAATTCTGGTACTTTATTGGTCCTGTCAAGAGCCAGGCTTGTCCAAAAGTGTGAACGTTTGTGTAGCTGCCAGTTACACCGAAGGAAGGTCACAAGGGGTCAAACGAATACGAAATGGAAACATGCCTAATTGCAAAACCTGGCAAAAATACTCTATCTGAAAGTGCACTCGTGTGGTGTTCAGAGATGGATGCCTTTGGAATTAAGTACAGTTGAAAGTGTCTAAGACGGTCACACATTGTCGAGAAGAGAAATGGCGTATTAGACAGCTGGCTGTCTTACACAGTGTCGTTATACAAAACAAAATAAATACGAAGGGAAGGAAATGGGAAGTGGCCGTATGCATGCGTGTTTGTCTTATACCGGTGGCCGTTAGAACAGGTGCGACTGTATTGATCAAAAACGTGCTCCTAACCAGCGGTTGAAGCTAATTGGGCCCGCAATGTTCACCAACCCAATAATTTTGGAGGCTTTGCTGGCGCCACTGAAAAAATTACATTAAGAACTACAATCTGCGATGTTCAATGCCCCCTACCCCCCCCCCTTTCCCCTTCCTCTCTTTTAACTAACGTAAACTATATTTTTGGAAAAGGTCGCAAATTTGATCACAACGCTTTAATTTGAGGTTCGAATCCTTGTTGCCGTACATATATCTTATTACTGTCTTCGTACTCTTTTTTAATCGTCTTAGCCTGGCTCAATCTCCTTTTATAAAAACTAAATGCCTCGTCCTGATGCCTTATATTCTGACTTTCTCTCTTTCTTGTCGGGTGTAAATTTTCCACCTACACTAACTACAGTATTTTTTTTAAAAATCAAAATTGAAATGCAGAATGAAAACTACATTATTCACAAAAGAAAACGTTATAAAAGTGGTTATTTCTAATTAATTTCGGATATCAAATTCAACTTACCTTAATTGGAAATCAACTGGGGATTTGGAATCAACTCCTACACTCTTCTATACGGAATGTGCAAAGGAGATACATGATTAATTTATCGTTATCATATAAACTAAGCATTTTGCATCAAGTATTATAAAAATACGAGCTGTATAAGGAATATCACACACGCGCGCGCAGACACACACACACGCGCACACACACACACACACACACACACACACACACACACACACATACACACACATACACACACAAACAAACACACATATACACACACTCACAGATAGATAGATAGATAGATAGATAGATAGATAGATAGATAGATAGATAGATAGATAGATAGATAGATAGATAGATAGATCAGCTTCGCAAACTTTCACGTACGTCAGCTCATTGACTCGTAGTGCACCAAACAACACGTTGTCTGTCCAAACAAGGAAAGCTTTAATTATGTCAATACGGAGTGAAATTTTCAAATACGATTCTGAAAGACTGCAAACATACAAAGAGATTTACGCAAAAGTCTGGGGCAACTATGGTAAATAGAGACCCTCCTTCTTTTTATTTGTCTAGCTTGGAGTGACATTGGTTTGTCCGAGTATTCGACATTGGACAAAGGGAAATAAGATTATGACTTTACGAATATAATCTAGATTCGCTGTGTTTGGTGAAAAGAAAATAATTACGCGTGATTTGCTGGCGACCTGATGAAAAACTAGAATTATTTTGTTTGCAAGCTCTTGGTCCTGCAGCTCACTCACTAGTTTCTGTGTTTGTTTTTGTTTTGTTATTCTGGAACTTGGTGAATTAGTTTCATGGATTTACTCTATCCTTGAAGTGTATTGAATTTGCTTTTTGTTTCTTTCACAATGAATTCACTATCTTTCTTAATCTTATTTCATTAAAAAGTCAAGTGCGAGATTGTACTTTTGAACCATCACTGTTCTCTTGTGTGAGCATTAAAACTTGTATGTTCGCGAATAAGTGTGGTTATGAGTGTAGGCGTTAGTGGTTTGTTAATGTGACTGTTTGTTAGCTTTATGTGAGCCACATGTGTTTCTTTGTATGCGTGTGGGGTAGTTTCCCGTGGGGAGGGGGGGGGGACACAAGAGATAAACAGATTCAAAATAAAAATTGAATATTTTGGTGCCTCTTTGAAACAAACAGGTTATTTAGGTGCATGGTCCAGCCTGTCGGGGCCATCCGGGCTTGATGGGGTAGTAGTGCATCCGATCAGAAGAACAAGATACATGATAAACAGATATTTTTAAAAATCTTTCAGGACTCACTTCTTTTAGGTACATGGTGAAAAGCCTAGCCATTGCACTACAGACACCAGTGGAGAGAAAGACAAAGTGAGAGAGGAAGAGAGAGAGATAGGGAGAGAGAGAGGGAGAGAGAGAGGGAGAGAGAGAGAGAGAG